TAACCAGCCCCTGGAAAGGATAGTCTGGGGTGAAGAAAGGGAGGAAACAAAAAGGAAGCAAAAAGATGTTGTGTTAATCACAACAATGTTCAGAAATTCTGTTGCCTCAAAAAAACGTGAGCATTTGTATTTTTCTTTTCCCTCTCTACTTTAGTGGCTGGGCCAGGACTGTCTCTAGATTGACTCCCTCAGCTGTAGTAGTTGTTTGGGACCATGGCAGCAGGAGTAGCAGCTTGGTTACCCTTTGCCAGGGCAGCGGCCATAGGATGGATGCCAGTGGCCACAGGTCCCATGCCAGCTGCTCCGCGGCAGGAGAGGAAGCGAAGCCAGGACTCTCTGATTGTGCTGAACGTGAGTGGCATCCAGTTCCAGACGTGGCTGGACACCTTAGAGCGCTACCCCGACACTCTGTTGGGCAGTTCGGAGCGGGACTTCTTCTACCACCCTGAGACACAGCAGTACTTTTTTGATCGGGACCCTGATATTTTCCGCCACATTCTCAACTTTTACCGTACCGGGAAGCTTCATTATCCCCGCCAGGAGTGCATCTCAGCTTACGATGAGGAGTTGGCCTTCTTTGGCATCATCCCTGAGATCATTGGCGACTGCTGTTATGAGGAGTACAAGGATCGCCGGCGTGAGAAGGCCGAGCGCCTGCAGGATGATGCCGATCAGGATCATGCAGCAGAAAGCTCCCTGCCCACAATGACAGCGCGGCAGAGGATGTGGCGGGCCTTTGAAAACCCACACACCAGTACGCTGGCTCTGGTCTTCTACTATGTCACTGGTTTCTTCATTGCCGTCTCTGTTATTGCCAATGTGGTGGAGACAGTGCCCTGCGGGGTAAGCCCAGGTCGCATCAAGGAGCTGCCCTGTGGAGAGCGCTATGCTGTGGCTTTCTTCTGTCTGGATACTGCCTGTGTCATGATCTTCACAGTTGAGTATCTCCTACGTCTGCTGGCGGCCCCTAGTCGCTACAAATTTGTGCGCAGCGTCATGAGTATCATTGATGTGGTCGCCATCATGCCATATTACATTGGCCTGGTGATGACAGATAATGAGGATGTCAGTGGGGCTTTTGTGACACTACGAGTCTTTCGTGTCTTCAGGATCTTTAAGTTTTCCCGCCACTCACAGGGGCTGCGCATCCTGGGCTACACCCTGAAAAGTTGTGCCTCGGAGTTAGGCTTCCTCCTCTTCTCACTCACTATGGCCATCATCATCTTTGCCACAGTCATGTACTATGCAGAGAAAGGTTCATCAGCCAGCAAGTTCACCAGCATCCCTGCAGCCTTCTGGTACACCATTGTCACCATGACAACACTGGGGTAAGTGCAGCTGGCATTTGGTTACAGCCAACATTTCAACAAGTATATTGGCACGAATGGAAAATACTCAATTTAAAAAAATGTTGATACAAAAAATGCCAGGGTAAGTTTTTGTTACAGAACTTTATGAATACGACTCATCACTTCTTTCTAAATGTTTTACACATGCAAGTGAGTTAAAAGTGTTGCTGAAGTTAAAATAACCCAAACCCCAAAACTGCAGATAAGCTGAAAAAGCAAACAAGAAAACAAACCAAAAAAAATCTTGAAACTGTTTGGGTTCTTTGCAATTTTCTCTAACAATTTATTTGGTTTTGGATCGTGACATTGGAATATTTTATGAATATCTGTGAGTTATCAGTGGATTTTTAACAGTCATGTGTTTGCTGAGAGGACTTGTTACAGTGTTGCTAAAGTAGTTATAATTATAAGGAGAACCCAAGTGCAATCTTTTAATTTGATCATACATAAAGGTCTGCCATTTTGTTTGAAGTGATGTATTAATGTAGACTTGGATATTGAGTTCGGTAGTACGAAGTGATTTATCTTCATGAAAATAAAACAGGTATAGATACCTTAATGTTCACAAAAATTATTCCTGATGTTATTTAAGACACGGAATAAATCTCCTTTGATTTCCATGGACCTGTAACTTGTAAATGACAAGTGTCAAACTACACTGACCGGTGACACACTCCGGAAAATGATCTGAGGAAGTGTGAGACATATGACAGATGAAGCATATGTCTTAAAACATAATTCTAATGGCAATATAAATTCTTCTAGAGAATTAGGAGTTAAAAAATGCCATTGTTGACATTAGACCCCAATGCAGTTTAGTGGAAAGATGGGAGATAGTAGTATTTCATAAAGTCTCTGATACCAGAGTCATATTGTACGAGCTGATTCTGTGCACCAAGTTGTAAAATGGATTTGTCTGTAATTATAACAGGGATTTAGAAGGTTGACTAATTTGAGAAGACAATTTTTTGCCCTATTCTTAATTTTGAGCTGTAGAGTATCATCTATGAAACTGAAAATGTTTTGATTCATTAGAAACTGTCTAGTTATTTAATAATTACAGATACTAAAAGACAAACTTTTCATTTCCATGAAGACAAACCCCATCATTTTATTAGTCAAACATTTTGCCACATCTTGTTGGGACTGTTGAGATTTATGAAACATGTATAACTTTTAAATTTAACAAAATGAAAGTGCATTATTAAACTATTATGAAAAAGTTGGTTTATTACATGCAATTGTAATTTAGGTGGGAAATGCACATAACAAAATATTGAAAAAGATAAAGGGACTGTCTTATGCCACTGTTTTTTATAAGAGCTTTTATCTTCAGCATGATATAACAAATGAAGATAAATATAGAGCCTTGTAAATATTTCATACTATTTGTAAGGGCAAGTTATGCTAAAAAGGAGTGACAAGAGCTTTGGGGATTTTAACCTGCTTTTTAGGTTCCTGTGTTTTTTTGGTTTTCGTTTTCTTCTGGTAGTGACAAACTGAAGGGACAAGTTAGCGGAAGGAACAAGTTATGCATGCTAACTAGTTCCATAGTCCTGTATTTTCTGATGCTGATACTTTTTGCCACATATTTTTAGTTAGAACTGTGATGATTTCAACAAATTAGGTCTTAAGAATTTACCAATATTTAGGATGTATAATCTTATTATAAAAGATCAGGAGCTAGTCTGTGGTTTTTGTAACAAAAGCTGTTTTTTGAGTAAGTTGTTTTCGCTGTTACGGACACAGTTTGGGCAGTACTTGTCCATGGTACTGAACATAATTTTGTCTTCAGTTTTATGGCCAGTTTGCAATTGATTATGACACGGGTATGGTCTCTACTTGGCATTAATATGATTTGTTTCACCAAAAAATGAGTATTATTCTGTAGTTTCAGGTTCTGAGGTATTGCACCGAGTAAAATCTTCAAAAGTACTGATGAGATTTGAACATCATTAAAAATCTCTTTGAATAGAGCCTAAGAACCCATTTTCAAGTATGCAGCCATACAATATCTAGGTCCTGAGGGGAAGAAAAAGGGTTAAAAAGAATATACTCATGCTTGACTCCTTTTTCGAGGTAGTTTGCACAGGGAAAGTTTTGAGCAGGTTGTACAGAGATCCAAAGTTTCACCCTCAGAAGTTCAGACATGATTGTAAGTTCAGATATGACAGACATCACAAATCTCTGGGAAATCTTTAATCAACGCATTATCTAGATTATGTCCTTTTAATAACATCATGATAACCATATAAAGATTATGTTTAAACGTTAAATACGTATGAATAATTTAAATAGAATTAACGTAATAAAAGCTTTGAACTCTTTAGTTGATGGAATAATTACACAAAAAGAGAGGGAAATTAAAAGGAAAAGCAGCAAGGGTCAGTGAAAGCTGACTGTAATTAGTATTGCTGTCTTTGCTCTGTGCTAAAACTTCTCGTCCGTTTACTAATATAGGACTCCCATTCTGTTTTAATTTTAGTTTTAGCTGAATTAGGGCTATATAAATGGGCTCTATATGAACAACATTTTTCTTTTAGCAACGAAGCTACATGAAGTCGTTATGTTTTAAATGACAGTCGCACACAGCAGGTTATGTGAAATATTACAAAAATACATGAAAGCTAATACCAAATAATAGATTAACATAAAGTTGAGTTTTTGAGTCTTGGTGTCATTCTCATATTTTGCTAGATAGCAAGGGTATTGAGTAAGCGACCTTTGCAATTTGGGGAGTTATTATCTTGGAAGCAGAGCTATATTTCTCAGTTCTGCATGATTGCTGAGCAATTAAAGTGTCTTTAAAAAACATAGATTACGTTTTCCTCTGCAGAGTGCCAGTGACTTCCAATATTACTATATTTTAGCCTCCAAGGATATCCCAGCTATTAACTGTTCTTGACTGCTCAACTCAAGTAGTACATAGTTGTACACAGAGATGTTATGTGAAAGAAAGGGAAGAAAGGAGGAAAGGAACAGAGAAAGAGAGAGCAAGAAAGAGATGAAGGCTGAAAGAGAGAGAGAGAAGAGAGAGAGAGATGACTCTAGAATAACAGCATGCACTCTGCCAGAAACTGAGTTGTCTGATTTCAAACTTCAAATTAGTGTTTTATCAGTATTACTTGTAGCAAAAGCAAAAGTAAAGTAGGGACAAGGGATAAGAAAGGACAAGAGAATAAAATTGAAAGAGGTCACAAAGCAGTTTGTGGAGATTCAAGATAACAATGAAAAGCATAGAAGTTAGGGGCATAAAGGTCAAGAAATAGGGTAGTGTAAAACCTGGGAGAGAAAAAAGCTCAAGTCTATTAAATTGGGACTGGCAGAATTACATGGGGGCTTGTGAACGTCTACACCCATAATGACACAGTTATGTCACTTTCTGCTGTCACCTCATAACATGATATTCTAATAACTTTCCTTCTGCCCTGTCAGTAGCTAGCAAATGAGCTGGAATAGCTGGTAAGGTTTTGATGGTGTGAGGGTAATGTTTGTTCCCAAATCAGGCAGAGCTATAGTGTAGTTTATGTTTTATAAAGATATTATACTTTAAATAAGGAGCACAGTGCTCTTCTGTGACTAGTTCTAAAGCAATCTCGCTGCTGCATTAAACTTCTATATTTATAGGCTTTACATTGGGTAGCTTTGTCAAGTCATACAATATTTTGTGGATAAGCATAATACTTTATGAAGGGAAGCTTAAACACAAGACTATTCATTTATTTGCTTTGATTGTATAAACTAGAGGTGTGTCTTCCAGAAAAGATAAAGCAACTATTAATTTTCATTATTTGTTAATATAGCCCATAATGTATGAGGAATCCCATCTAAGATATATCAAGTTCCTTGAAGACTTTATAGTCAAACATGTGAGTGGATATGACAACAGAAAGCCTCAAACGGTAAACAGGGGAATAGGGCGATGGATTTAATTTTCCTGCGCATTCTATGCTCTCCCATCTTCACTCCTTTTCCATTCCTATTGCATCCCTATGGGTATATTCCATCCATTTATTTTCTTCACTTTTCTTTCAAACTACCACTTTCCACAATCTTCCTGTTCGGGCATTTGTCTGCTGGCTTGGCACCTTTCCTCCCTTGCTCAGGTCAAGTTTAATGTTCATATTAAGACTCTTCTGGCTTTATTTTTTCTGCATCTTTGTTCCAGATTCCTCATTCATCCTTCACCACTAGATCAAATCTTTCATTCATCATCATTGTCATGCATTTGACCTGAACTTTCCTCATAACAGGTTTTTTTTTCTGACCTTTGTTTGATAGATTTTTTCCTTATGAGCGTCATAAAATTTCCACAGCATCACTTTTTTTCCCAAATGCCACACAAATTATCTTGTTTTCTTTTTCTGACCATTGTGAGTGCCTGTAGTTTCTTATGGTCTCTGCATGCTAGTTTGAAAACATCCATCTCTTCAGAACTCATCTTAAAAAAATTGAGTTCAATAAAATCTAACAAGAGAGCGCAAAATTAGAAATCTTTGTTTTGTGAACAATTTCATTAAAAGTGTAGAAATACTCTTATGATGAATATTACAAAGGTAAAGATTAGTGAAGTTGGAATATTATTTCTGTATCTCGTACTTACATATTGGCTCATTCCTTCATTTTGTGTTTGATACTTTCATACTTGTTTCAAATAGCATTTTTCTATTTTTGTATTCTTGTATACAACCTAGTGAATTTTATATTTTACAAATGTGTTTGATGTCTCAATCTATTTTCTCTTCACAGCAGAGACATTTAGCCTGAATAGTTAGAATACTATATAACAGAGGAAGGACAAAGTGTAGTGTAATCACCTTCAAAGCACATTACCAGATATTCAAAAAGGGCTCCAGGGAGAATTTGAAATACTGAAGAGCAAGGGTCATTTTGATGGCAGTGAAAAAAAATTATTTGTTCTCTAATAAAAAGATTACTCAAACTATATTGGGCTGTTGTTGGCTTGACAGAGAACAGGAGTCA